TACGCAATCTATCCTTTACAATACTTGTTGTAAAAAAGACTCTCTCCACAGTAGCGGTAGGAATCAGTAGAATCAATACTAAAGTCAAAAACCTGTAAATCAATGGATATACCATATTTTTCTTTATCAGAACTAACTTTTCTGTAAGATCACCAAGGTCAATTAACCCTTCAAACTCTTTGTTAAAGCGCACGTCAAAAATATAAGTCCCAAGTTGATCAAGAAGTACAACGAGATCTAATATAGAGAAATCTAATGGATAAAACTCAGCAAGTCGAATCAAACTTTTCTTGTCAAAAGAAGAAAATGAATATTGTGGACATAAATAAACTACACACATGAGTAACTCTGTATTTACCTCCGAGAAACAATCATTCAATTCTTGAAGTTGAAGATCGATGATAGAATAGAACAAATCTAACTGATAATGATGAAAATTTGTAAGTTCGATCTGGAGGATTACGTTGTGGGCGACCACGAAGTGCACGGCGTACAAACATATCATCCATGATAGGTACATCAATATAATGTTGTTGACAAAAAGAACACACTTTTTCCCAAAAGGAGTCAAACCCTTCATCTCTCATTATTTGTAGTCGTTGTTTGCATAACTTCACCAATTGCATTGCATTTACAATANCAAAACTACACCAATTGCATTGCATTTACATTATCTTGATCTTTTCGTTATAATGCTTTTGACAGTTCTTTTGATATCCCCAAGACACTTCTCATCAACTGAAAATTAAATGCAAAATCAAATGTCTATATCGATTCCAATAAATTTGTTGGATCGGATCTTTGTTCACAAGAACAAGAGTCATCTTCAACAATCATAGCAAGTACATCAATAACAGGAGAGAACATGACAAGTAAGTTGATCAATGAATGATAATGTGAACCTCATCGCGAATCACCAGAACGTTGAAGGGTTGTTTCTTGATTAAGTCCCCGTCCACTTAAAATCTCATCCTTCTCCAATGCCTCAACCATAAAGTCTGATTGCGAGGTGGACCGGCGGAGGCTGCAAGTCTGAAACCAACTTACGAATGTGGACTGCGGAGGATGGAGTTGTTGAGGAACGAGTCCGGAGGCGGAGGCTGCGAAGTGCCGGAGGCGGAGCAAGGGAGCAGTCGAGCAGAGAATGGAGTTGTTTAAGCCTTGAGGAATGACGAAAGTCAATCAAGTCACTCAACGAGGTTTAAATTTTTGGACTTTCTCTCTTAGACTGGGACTTAGCCTATAACTAAAAAAAAATTGAGCCCAGAAGTTCAAGGTGGGCCTGTGCCCACCCTGGGCCTTACTAGGCTCCGCCCTTGTGTCCGCCTAGTGCCTTGTACTAATAGGATGTGTTTGATCCTTACTATTAAATTGAATTAGACACTCATACATAAAAATTAAAAATTGTATAGGGTGTACAATCAGTAGTTTTTTGTACATAATAAGGT